AATGCTAGCCAACCGCCCCCCTGACCGCCTTGCCACTGCCCGCGACCGCTTCCTTAGCGTCCACCCCAGTGACCTCACCCTCACCGACTTTGTCAACACCCTGTCTACCATAGAGACCCGCCACCGCTCTATCGCCCAGACTAGCGGTACTGTGCCAGTCCCTATCTTTCAGGGTTGTGCCCCTGCCCAGTGCACCTTCTCCGACGGTTCTGCTGCTGTGGCTGAGACTGCTGCTGCAGCGCAGCTCCGTCCGGGGAAGGGTCGCTGCCCCAAGGCTGGGCGTGCCGGAGGGGGTGGGAGTACAGGTGGAGGTGGTAGTGGAGTCGGGGCGCCTGGTGGTGGCGCACACGAGGGGACTGTCCCTAGTGTAGCTGAGCCGCCGTCCCAGCAGCTGCAGCCGTCGCAGCCGGACCAGCACCTCCCACACCCGCAGCCGAGCCGCAGCAGTCGCAGCAGCCGCAGCAGTCGCAACAGCCGCAGCAGCAGAGGCGGGTGAGTGGTCTCCCGCCCGGGTGGCCTAGCGCTAGTGGCGACGGTGGACATGGTGGTGGAGGTGCGCGTGGTGTGCTCCCGGGTGGCAGTTCGGGTGACGGGCGCTGCCAGTACCAGCTCCTGACGGGTCCTCGCTGCGGCTCCGTTTGCGGTAAGACTGGTCACTCCCCAGTTCGCTGCTTCCGTCGCCTTGACGACCTGTTTTGTCTTTGCTTCGGCCCCTCGCCCGACCTCCCCAAATGGTTCAGCTTGCTTCGTTGTAGTATTACGATTTTTGATATGGACATGGATGAGCTTAGCTCTGCCCTGTATGTGCTGTATGCTGATGACTCTAGTGTGACTGGTTCTCACTACCCTGTGTTGCCTAGTGTAGGTGTGCCTAGTCTTGCCCCCCCTGCTGGCTAGTGTTGGCTAGTTGCAGTGCGTGTCCACTGCGGTCTCCCTGTCCTGCGTCTTCACTCTGACCGTGGGGGCGAGTTTGCCTCCGGCGTCCTTGGGTGCTTTTGTCGTGCAGAGGGCATCACCCAGACGTTCACCCTGCCGGACTCCAGCAGAATGGGGCCGCTGAGCAACGCATCGGTTTGGTCATGGAGGTGGCTCGTACCTCCATGATCCACGCCGGTGCACCCCATTTTTCTGTGTTTGTTCGCGGTTCGCTACGCTGCTCACCAGCTTAACCTGTGGCCGCACCCTCAGTGGCCGCAGGTTTCGCCGACACTTTTTTGGATCGGGTCTCCTGGTGACGCATTTGCGTTCCACGTCTGGGGCTGCCTTGCTCACGTTCGTGCATCTGGCACGGACAAGCTTACAACCTGCACCGTCCCCTGCATCGTCCGACTAGCACTTCTATCACCCGCCGTCCCACGTTCCTTTCACTCCCGAGACGTTACCTTTGACGAGTCCGTCTCCTTCTACCACCGCTTTCCATACCGTGGTCCCCCGGTTGCCCACCCCCTGTTCTTGGTTCCCCCGTCCCTGGTAGCCCCAGTCCCACCCCCCCCGCATCCTGCCCCGTTCGGTGTGTCTCATGTCACTCCCCTCCCGTCGGTTGTCCCGGTTGAGGAGTCTGCTAACTCTGGTGGTCCTGCGGCCCGGTCCTTGCCGCCAGCCCCCCCCCTCGGTGACACCTCCACCGCCGCCACAGCAGCAGTCATCGCCGCCGTAGATGCCATCCCTGCGGCCGCAGCCGTTCGTCGCCTCTGGTGGAGCTGGAAATGGGAGTGGTACCGGTGCTGGAGGGGTTTCTGGCTCTGGGGGTGTTCCTTCTGGGGGTGCAGGAGAGGAGTGTTCCGACGGTAGCCGTGGAGCCGCTTTCGGCCCTGGCGTCGGTGTTGTGCCGCAGCAGCCGCTGTCCCCACCGGTGTCAGCCCTTCGCCTGCTCGGCCTTCCGTCCCCTGACCCTGCGTCTGTTCCTCTCCTGCCGTCCCCTCCTCTTCTTTCTACGGCTCTGTGTTCCCTCCCCCGGACTCGTCCCCGGCTCGTCTCCCCCCTCGTTCCCCTCTTGTGTCTCCTCCTCTGTCTCCTGACCCGACGCCTCCGTCGCACGTGTGGTCGCGCCGTCCCTCCCATACTCACCCTGCCTCCCCTGTCTCGCGCTCCCACCCTATATTGCTTCGTTCTCACGTGTCTCGTCCTCCCCTCCTCCCGTCGCCTCCTCCGTCCTCCCTTGTCGTTGCGCCTCCACCTCTGTCTGACTACCTTCGTGCCGCTCGTCCTCTTGTTCCTCGGGTCCTTGCCTCTCTCGTTACCAACCCGTCTATTCCGGTGTCACGTCTTGATGCTCTTGTCACTATGGTCGCTGACTTCGCCTCTACCCGCCGCCTTGACTACGCCACCGCTCTGGTCTCTGACCCTGCCTGTCCTCCGTCTGTTGGGGGTGCTCCTGCCCTTGGCAGTAACCTCCTGGAGGACCGCCAGTACGAGCTTGCTTTCCTGTCCGAGGCTGCTCCCCATCTCTGTTCCATGCTGCTAGTCCCTGAGGGTGACCCTGACGCTTTCGATATCCCGACCCCTCGCACTTACGCTGAGGCGACCTCGAGACCCTGGGCCTCTCAGTGGATAGCTGCCATGGAGCATGAGATGGCATCTTGGAGATCCACCGGCACCTACAGCGACGCAGTTCCCCCACCTGGGGTGAACGTAGTCGATGGCCGCTGGCTCTTCAAGGTGAAGCACCCTCCTGGAGAGCCGCCTGTGTTCAAGGCGCGCTACGTGGCTAGAGGTTTTCGTCAGCGTGAGGGGGTGGACTTCTTTCACACCTTCACTCCGACCCCTAAGAAGACTACTCTTCAGGTACTGCTACTTGTAGTAGCTCAGCGTGACTACGAGCTTCACTCCCTTGACTTTTCCGCTTCTTTTCTTCAGGGCAGTCTACACAAGTAGGTCTACCTGCGCCGCCCTCAGGGCTTCACTGGTACCTTCCCTCCTTGGACCCAGTGGGCTCCTGTGGCACCCCATCTACGGCCTATGCCAGGCTCCCCGTGAGTGGCACGACACGCTGCGTGCTACCCTAGCTGACCTGCAGTTCTTTCCGTCCTCTGCAGACCCCTCGCTCTTCGTTCATGCTGGCCAGACTCCGTTCTACATCCTTGTTTACGTAGACAACCTGGTCTTCGCCACTGTAGACAGGGACGCACTGGCCTCCGTGAAGGCAGAGCCGCTGAAGAGACACACGTGCACTTACCTTGGAGAATTGCGCCACTACCTTGGCTTGCAGATCTCCAGGAACAGAGCAGCGCACACCGTCACACTTGGTGCGCCAGGTCCTTCAGTGGTTCGGCCTTTAGTTCTCCTCCGCACAGCCCACTCCTCTGCCTCTAGACCACTGGCTCTGTGCTCCAGTTCCTGAGGAGTCAGCGGAGCCCAGTGGTCCTTACGCAAAGCTGGTGGGTTGCCTCATGTACCTGATGACGTGCACTCGCCCAGATCTCGCATACCCTCTCAGCATCCTGGCTCGCTTTGTGGCCACAGGCAGACACCGTCCTCAGCACTCGTCTGGCGCTAAGAGGGTTTTGCGTTATTTAGCAAGTACATCGAGCATGGGGTTAGTGCTAGGAGGACGCAGGCCAGTGGTCCTTACTGGACACACAGACCCTTCTGGGGCAGACGACGCCGAGACCCTCAGGTCCTCTCAGGGCTACTGCTTTAGTCTTGGTTCAGGTGCCGTCTCATGGAGAGCTAACCCCTCGTCGTCTGTGGCTCAGTCCAGCTGTGAGGCCGAGATCTACGCTGGTGCCATGGCGACACAGGAGCTCCGCTGGCTGACCTTCTTGCTTACTGACTTAGGTGAGCGGCCTAGCTCTGCCCCGGTCATGTACGCTGACAACAGGCCCATGATCCTCCTATGTCAGTAGCCTCGACTCGAGGGCAGAGCGAAGCACATCCAGCTGCGGTACTTCCTCCTACGAGAGCTACAGCAGCGCCGCCAGGCTCGCTTAGTACACCTGGCCTTCGGTGCCAACACAGCTGATATCTTTACGAAGGCACTTGCCCCTAAACATCATCAGCGGCACTGTTTACAGGTAGGTCTCGTTCCTGTAGCCTCTCACTTGCTAGGGCCTTGACTTTGTACTGTCCTTTATATATATATTAGCTCAGACTAGACTTGTGTCCTCTCCCAGTGGCTGGACTAATAGTGCCGCCCTGGTCTTGTTCTTGTCTTGCCTGTACTCCTGTTGACTGGTCTTTAGACCCTTGTCTCAGTGGCTCGACTAGTAGTGCCGCCCTGAGCTGTTAGTTCAGGCACTGCCCCTATGCAGTCTAGGGGGTGTGTCAAACATTAGCATATCTAGTGTTTGTATAGACTGTATAGGGTCACCTCTTAGAGAGTACAATACTTGCATATGTATTCTTGTACCCACGTACTCTAGTCATTCAGTTCTTACTTTAAAATGGTATCACGCGTAGGTTAGAATCGCCCACCTACCGCCTCCGCCCGTACCCTATAGCGCCTCCTAGCCCCGTCGCGCCCTTCCTGGGACCCGACGCGCCTCCCAGCCCCGTCGCGCCTCTCCTGGGCCTTGTCGCGCCTCCTAGCCCCGTCGCGCCCCTCCTAGGCTCCGTCGTGCCTCCTAGCCCTTTCACGCCCCTCCTGGGCCCCGTCGCGCCTCCTAGCGCCCCTCCTGGGCCCCGTCGTGCCTCCTAGCCCCGTCGCGCCCCTCCTAGGCCCCGTCGCGCCCGCTACGGCCTCGTCGTGCCCAGCCTTGCCCCATCGCGCCCTCTAGGCCCCGTCGCGCCTTGCCTGGCCCCGTCGCGCCTTGCTTGGCCCCGCCGCACCCGCCTGGCCCCGCCGCACCCGCCTGGCCCCGTCGCGGCCAGCCTGGCCCCATCGCGCCTACCCGTCCGCGTCGCGCCTGCCTGGCCCCGCCGCGCCTGTCTGGCCCCGCCGCGCCTCCCTGGCCCCGCTGCGCCTGGCTGGCCCCGCTGTGGCTGAGACCGCCGCTACAGCGCAGTTCCGTCCGGGGAAGGGCCGCCGCCCCAAGGCTGGGTGCGGCGGTGGTTGTGGGGGTGCCAATGGAGGTGGTGCTGGAGTCGGGTCGTCTGGTGGTGGAGTGGACAAGGGGACCATGCCATGTCCGGCTGAGCAGCAGCAGCAGTAGTCGCAGCAGCAGCAGCAGCAGCAGCAGCAGCAGCAGCAGCAGCAGCAGCAGCAGCAGCAGCAGCAGCAGCAGCAGCAGCAGCACAGCAGCAGCAGCAGCAGCAGCCAGCAGCAGCAGCCAGCAGCAGCCAGCAGCCCCAGCCCAGCAGCCGCCGCAGCCCAGCTGCACCAGCTGCAGCAGCCGCTGCAAACGAGGCAGGCGAGTGTCCTCCCGCCCGGGTGGCCTGGCGCTGGTGGTGGTCGTGCGCGTGGTGGTGTGCCGGGTGACGGTTCGGGAGGCGTGCGCTGTCAGTACCAGATCCAGACCGATCCTCGCCGCGGCTTCGTTTGCGGTAAGATCGGTCACACCACTGCCCGCTGTTTTCGTCGCTTGGACGCCCTATTTCGTCAGCGTTTCGCACCGTCGCACGACCTCCCGGACTGGCACATTTTGCTTAGTGTAGAGTTCAGATTTTTGACATGGACATGGATGCCATTGTTTCTGCCCTGCATGTGATGTATGCTGATGACTCTAGTGTGATCCCCTCTTATTACTCCTTGTCGCCTAGTGTAGGTGTGCCTAGATTAGCCTCCCCTGCTGCGTCAGGCGTAGGAGCTTCTGCCTTGTTTAGCCTTGGTGCTTCCACCGTCGCCCAGTTGCCAGACGCCACTACTTCGCTCTCCTTCACCTTGGACTCTGGCGCTTTCCGGTGTTTCTTCCGTGACTCTACTACGCTGACGCCGCTTCCTGTTCCTGCTGCAGTTTCTCTTGCTGACCCCTTCGGCAGTCCAGTAGTCGCTTGCAGTTCCACCACCCTTCCCTGTCTGGCGGTTCCTTCGGGCTCTCTCACAAGTCTGCATATCCCCTCGTTCTCCAGGAACCTAGTTGGTGTCGCCTGCCTCCAGGACCTTGGCGTCACCACTACGTTCCCTGGTCACGAGCGGTACACTGTCTGTAACGAGGCCGCCACTGGTACCCCCTGTCCACGTTCCCCCGCGACCCGGTGTCCGGCGTGTTCACCCTGGATACCGTGACCCCCCCGGCAGGGGCGCCCCTTCAGGTGGCTGCGTCTACCCAGGTTGCTGCTGCCTGCTCCGGTCGGTCCCTCACTCACCCGACTCTCCTTTGGCACCATTGCCTAGGTCACCCTGCGCTCCCGCGTCTGCGTCACATGTCCCAGCACGGTCTCGTCCTTGGTCTCCCTTGTTCGTTCCCTGCATTTCCCTCCTCCCCCGCCCCACCTTGCACGCCTTGTGTCGAGGGTCGGCTTCGCCGTGCCCCTCACTCCTCCTCGTTTCCCTCTATTGCCACGCCGCTGCAGACCCTGCACATGGACGTCTAGGGCCCCGCCCCCGTCCATGGGCCGCGTCAAGAGCGCTACTTCCTCGTACTTGTTGACAACTTTACTCGCTACACCACAATCTATCCTCTGGAGCGCAAGGCCGACGTGCCTGACGTTCTCATTCCCTGGCTTGTCTCTGCCCGTGTCCACCGAGGTCTCCCTGTCCTGCGTCTTCACTCCGACCATGGTGGTGAGTTTGCCCCAGGTGTCCTTGGTCGCTTCTGTCATGCGGAGGGCATCACCCAGACGTTCACCCCGCCGGACTCCCCACAGCAGAATGGGGTCGCTGAGCGACGCATCGGTCTGGTCATGGAGGTTGCTCGCGCCTCCATGATCCATGCCGGTGCACCCCATTTTCTGTGGCCGTTCGCCGTGCGCTACGCTGCTCACCAGCTTAACCTGTGGCCGCACCCCCAGCAGCCACAAGTTTCGCCGACCCTTCTTTGGACCGGGTCTCCTGGTGACGCATCTGCGTTCCACGTCTGGGGCTGCCTTGCTCACGTTCGTGCCTCTGGCATGGACAAGCTCACTGTCCGCACACTTCCCCGCGCCTTCCTAGGTTTCCCCTTTGACGAGTCCGACTGGCACTCTCCTTCTACCATCGCTTCCCCCACCGCGGTCCCCCGGTTACTCCCCCCCTGTTCCTGGTCACTCCTTCCCCGGTGGTCCCTGCCCCCCCCCCCTCCACCACCCCGTCCTGCCCCCTCTGGTGTGTCCCATGTCCCCCCTCTTCTGTCAGTTGTCCCGGTCGAGGAGTCCTCTGACTCTGGTGGTCCTGCGGCGCAGTCCTCGCTGTCTGCCCCTCCCCCAGTGTCTCCCCCCTCACAGCCTCTGCAGCCACCGCCGCCCCTGCTGTCGCAGCCGTCGTTCCCGCCGCCGCTGCCGCCGTCGCAGCTGCAGTTCGTCGACCCTTGGGGTGCCCGCGTCGGGGTGGGTGCTAGTTCTGGGGTTCCTGTTGTAGACTGCCCAGGTGGCCCTAGGGGTGGTACTGGTGCTCGAGGGGTTTCGGGCTCTGGGGGTGTTCCTTCTGGGGGTGCCGGCGTGGAGTGTTCCGGCGGTAGCCGCGGAGCAGCTTGCGGTCCCGGTGTTGGTGTTGTGCCGCCGCAGCAGCAGTCCCCGCTGGTGTCCGCCCTTCGCCTGCTCGGCCTTCCGTCCCCTGACTTTGCGTCCGGTCCTCCCCTGCCGTCTCCTCCTCTTCCTATCTACGGCCCTGTGTTCCCTCCGCCGGACTCATCCCCGGCTCGTCTTCCCCCTCGCTCCCCCCTTGTGTCACCTCCTCTGTCTCCTGACCCGACGCCTCCGTCTCACGTCTGGTCCCACCGTCCCTCACGCGCTCGTCCTGTCTCCCCTGTCACGCGCTCTCACCCTATGTTGCTTCGTTCCCACGCGTGTCGTCCTCCCCCTCTATCGTCGCCGCCTCCGTCCTCTCTTACCGTTGCGCCTCCCCCTCTGTCTGACTACCTTCGTGCCGCTCGTCCTCTTGTTCCTCGGGTCCTCGCCTCTCTCGTTACCGACCCGTCTGTTCCGGTCTCGTGTCTTGACGCTCTAGTCGCTGCGGTCGCTGACTTCGCCTCTACCCGCCGCCTTGACTACGCTACCGCTCTAGTCTCTGACCGTGCCTGTCCTCCGTCTGTCGGGGGTGCTCTTGCCCTCGGCAGTGACGTCGTGGAGGACCGCCAGTTCGAGCTTGCTTTCCTGTCCGAGGCTGCTCCCCATCTCTGTTCCATGCTGCTAGTCCCTGAGGGTGACCGAGACACTTTCGACATCCCGACCCCTCGCACTTACGCTGAGGCGACCTCGGGACCCTGGGCTTCCCAGTGGATAGCTGCCATGGAGCAGGAGATGGCATCTTGGAGATCCACCGGCACCTTCGTCGACGCAGTTCCCCCGCCTGGGGTGAACGTAGTCGGTGGCCGCTGGCTCTTCAAGGTGAAGCGCCCTCCTGGAGAGCCGCCTGTGTTCAAGGCGCGCTACGTTGCTAGAGGCTTCAGTCAGCGTGAGGGGGTGGACTACTTCCAGACATTCGCTCCGACCCCGAAGATGACTACTCTTCGGGTTGTGTTACACCTAGCTGCTCAGCGTGACTACGAGCTTCACTCCCTCGACTTTTCCACTGCCTTCCTTCAGGGCAGCCTACACGAGCAGGTCTACCTCCGTCGCCCTCATGGCTTTACTGGTACCTTCCCTCCTGGGACTCAGTGACTCCTGCGGCGTCCCGTCTACAGCCTGCGGCAGGCTCCTCGTGAGTGGCACGACACGCTGCATGCTACCCTTGCTGACCTGCAATTCTTTCCGTCTTCCGCAGACCCCTCGCTCTTTGTTCGTGCTGGCCAGACTCCGTTCTACATCCTTGTTTACGTGGACGATCTGGTCTTTGCCACAGCAGACAGGGACGCACTGGCCTCCGTGAAGGCTGAGCTGCTGAAGAGACACACTTGCACTGACCTTGGAGAACTGCGCCGTTACCTTGGCTTGCAGATCTCCAGGGACAGAGCAGCGCGCACCATCACCTTGACTCAGTCACACTTGGTGCGCCAGGTCCTTCAGAGGTTCGGCCTTCAGTTCTCTTCTGCACAGCCCACCCCTCTGCCTGTAGACCACAGACTATCCGCTCCAGATTCTGAGGAGTCAGTAGAGCCCAGTGGCCCTTACGCAGAGCTCGTGGGTTGCCTCATGTACCTGATGACTTGCACTCGTCCAGATCTCGCATACCCTCTCAGCATCCTGGCTCGCTTTGTGGCCACAGGCAGACACCGACCGCAGCACTGGTCTGCCGCTATGAGAGTTTTGCGTTATCTTGCGAGTACATCGGGCATGGGGTTAGTGCTAGGAGGACGCAGGCCAGTGGTCTTTACTGGACACACAGACGCTTCGTGGGCAGACGACGCCAAGACACTCAGGTCTTCCCAGGGCTATTGCTTCAGCCTTGGTTTAGGTGCCGTCTCGTGGAGAGCTACCCGCTCCTCGTCTGTTGCCCAGTCGAGCTGTGAGGCCGAGATCTATGCTGGTGCCATGGCGGCGCAGGAGCTCCGCTGGCTGACCTTCTTGCTCACTGACTTAGGTGAGCGGCCTAGCTCTGCCCCGGTCCTGTACGCTGACAACAGGGCCATGATCCTCCTGTGTCAGGAGCCTCGACTCGAGGGCATAACGAAGCATATCCAGCTGCGGTACTTCTTCCTGCGAGAGATACAGCAGCGCCGCCAGGCTCACTTAGTACACCTGGCCTCCGGTGCCAACACAGCTGATATCTTTACGAAGGCGCTTGCGCCTAAAGATCATCAGCGGCACTGTTTACAGCTAGGTCTCGTTCCTGTAGCCTCTCACTTGCTAGGGCCTTGACTTTGTAGTGTCCTTTATATATATATTAGCTCAGACTGGACTTGTGTCCTCTCCCAGTGGCTGACTAATAGTGCCGCCCTGGTCTTGTTCTTGTCTTGCCTGTACTCCTGTTGACTGGTCTTTAGACCCTTGTCTCAGTGGCTGGACTAGTAGTGCCGCCCTGAGCTGCTTGTTCAGGCACTGCCCCTATGCAGTCGACGGGGTGTGTCAAACATTAGCATATCTAGTGTTTGTATAGACTATATAGGGTCACCTCTTAGAGAGTACAACACTTGCATATGTGTTCTTGTACCCACGTACTCTAGTCATTCAGTTCTTACTTTAACAGGTGTGTCAAACATATCTTATGTTGTTGCTGTAGTGTAGACTATACAGGTTTGTGCCTTAAAGGGTACAACTCACTAGTCTATATTGCCCTATATCTTCCTATTCTATTCATAGTCTCTTTCTAACATCTTCGTACACATCATGGTTCGGCGGAAACAATGTTTTCAATCAACCAATCGATCGCGCATGCCTAGGGTCTGTCGAGAAATCTCAACCATTCGAAAAAAAATTGGATTGTCGACCGTCGATGCTGAACATCGGACCGCGCTGAAACGAAATCCGGGGGCGCGCAACCTGAAAAAGGTCGAAATTGCAACGTTTGCAGCAGCTCCATGCCTATTTCCAACAGATCTCACCCAAATGCGTGTAAACGGTAAGTAGTGGCCGTGGACCCAAACCCCAATATTCCCTCACAACCCCTTAGCCGTAAACAAAGGGGTCGTGATTTTTTAGATGCTGTTGCAGATGTACTATTGGCATCACACGCTCAAACTTCATATGTGCTGAATCTTGGTCAGAGCCGTGCAGAACCAACACATGAGAAGGGAAACAAGGAGGGGAAGGGGGAGAGGGAGGGAGGGAGGGGTGAGGTGGAGAGCTTTTCAATTGTATGGAGAGACAAGGGCTGAGACATGACAAGAGGCAAGGGGAGCACAGAACAAAGATGAAAGGAGAGGAGAACAAGAGGGGAGGGGAGAGGGGGGGAGATAAGACATGAGTAAGGGGGAACCTAGAAAGAAAGGGAGCTGACAAGAGGCAGAAATTAGGCGGTACAGGAGAAAGGAGCCTCCCACTCCTTTTTCTGCCTTCTCAAACCCCCTTCCCTCAATACTAGGTTTTGCCCATCACCCAATCTCTCCTGCATTCCCTTCCCCTTCCCTTCACTCCCTACTTGGTCTGCTGCTTCAGAGTCTGCTGCCCCACTCCCCTCTCCCAACACCTTCACTAACCTTCCTCTCTCTCACGACCCCACCCCCCAGTCCCATCACAACAACTAACCCCACCAGCTCCCCATGCGAGCCTGCTCCTCTCCCCCCCAAACTCCCTCTTCCTTCCCCCACCCCCCCCTCTCTAGTGTGCAGCATCCGCTGCTCTTCATTCTTCCGCCCCCCCTGCAGTCAAGGGAAGGGTGCCAGGAGGGAGGGCACTGGGGACGGGAAGGGAGAGGGGGAAACGAGAGGGGGCCGGAGGGGAGCAGAGGCAGCACCATCTCGTCCCATCTCTCCTGGTTTTCCTTCCCCTCCATCGCTCTCCTCACTGGGTGCACTACCTCTGACTTTGCTGCCCCATTCCCCCCAACCTGATTTCTCATGTCTACCCTCTCCCAGCCCCCACTCCGCAATCACACACACCCACCACTCCCCCTTCAACCCTCCTCTCACCCCCCTCGCCCACAGCACCCGTCGCAGTCCACTCGACCACTCCCCCTGCAGTCAGGGAAAGGTCAGGGGAGAGGGAGGGGAAAGGGAGGGGAAAGTGAGGGGAAGGCGTAGGGGAAAGCACAGGGAAAGGGAGGGAGAGAGAGAGGGGAAATGGAGGGGAAGGGGTAGGGAACCGGAAGGGCGCGAGGAAGGGTGGAGGGAGGCAAAAGGCGCAAGGCAGTGGCGGAGGGGGAAGGGGGGACGACTTGGGGACGTGAAGAAGGGATTAGGGGGGAAGGGACTTGAGAGGGATGGCGAAAAGGCAAGAGGGAAAGAGAGCGAGGGGATGGGGAGGCGCATGGTGAGATGGAAGTGGCAAGTTAGGGGAGGGAAGAGGCGAAGGGGGGGAGGGGGGTGCAAGACAAGGGAGGTAGAGGCGGAGGGAGGAGGGCAGAGTGGCTATGTGGCAGATCATAAGCGAGCGATGGGGAAAACAGATGATCAACCGGCAGGACGTTGTGAGGGAGAGGGGCATTGGGGGGAGGGAAAGGGTATGAGAGTGAGAAGGCATAAGTGCGGAGGGGAAGGGCGTGAGAGTGAGACTGCTCAAGCAAGTGCGGAGAGGAGAACATTCTTTCCCTTTCGCACTCCCCTCCTGTCACACTTTCCCTTTCCCCTCGCCCTGTGCTAGCCCCTTCTAGCATGCCCCAAAATGGTCCCCTCCCCTCCCCTCTCACCTCATCGTCCCCCCTACCTCCCTCTCCCCCCCCATCTCGTCCGCAGCTTCTGCTAAACCCACTCGTCCATGCCACAACAAATCACACAATGTCCGTTCAAATCCCCCCCCCCCTTCCCCCTTCCCCCCCCCCCCCCCCCCCCCCCCCCCCCCCCCCCCCCCCCCCCCCCCCCCCCCCCCCCCCCCCCCCCCCCCCCCCTTCTCCCCTTGCCCCAATCATCTCGTCCGCAACTTCTGCTGCAGCCCACTCGCCCATGCCACAGCGTTTTCTCCCTTCCTCTCAGCATCTCACAGGTTTTCCTCCCTTCCTCTCAGCAAGTCTCACAGCGTTTTCCTCCCTTCCTCTCAGCAAGTCTCACAGCGTTTTCCTCCCTTCCTCTCAGCAAGTCTCACAGCGTTTTCCTCCCTTCCTCTCAGCAAGTCTCAGCGCACCACATCTGTCCCACCCACGCTCCCTTCCCCTCCCCCCCCTCCCCAACACACCTTGTCCGCCGCAGCACCTGCTGCACTCCACTCGCCCTGCGCTCCCCCTGTAACACTTTCCCTTTCCCCTCGCCCCGTGGCAGCCCCTTCTAGCATCTGCCGCAGCACCTGCTGCACTCCACTCGCCCACGCCACTATGTATCCCGCTTCCACTCTGCACTTCAAAGCAGGCCGTGTCGTCTGACATTGTAACGAGATGACTTGTGAGTCGGCTCAAACGATTACCCCGTTACAGTGTCGCCCTCACAACGTACCTCCCTTCCTCTCAGCACTTCCTTCCCACCGGCACCACATTCATCCCTCCCACATTCTCTTCCCCTCCCCACCTCCCCTCTCCCACTCACCTCGCCCAAAGCATCTGGTACACTCCACTCGTCCACTCCCCCTCCCCCCCAGTTCCCCGCCCCCCTTCCCCTTCTCCCACCCCCCTCCCGCACACACACACCCCGCCTGCACCATCTGCTGCACCCCTCTCGCCCGTACCACCAGCTGATTCCGCTCCCCAATGCCCCCATTTCGCCCCCCTTCGTCTGCAGCATCTGCTGCTCTCCACTCGTTCATCCCCCCTGCAAATATCGATTCCACCATTCCCCTTGCCCCATGCTTGCTCCTTCTTTCATGCCTCAAAGGTTCCCTCCCTCCCTCCCCCTCCCCGACACATACCTCGTCTGCAGCATCTGCCGCACTCCACTCGTCGTTGCCACAAGCTGCTTCGCCTTCCCCATCCCCCCCATTCACCCCACACTCCCTTCCCTTCCCCCACCCCCACCTCGCCTCGCCCAAGAATCTTCCCCACTCCACTTTGCCCGCTCCCCTACAGTTAGGACACGGGGATCCGGGCGGGGGTAGCTGGGGGATGGCATGCTGGGGGGGGAGGGAGGGGGAAAGGGGAAAGGGGGGAGGGGGGCAGGGGGGGGATAGAAAATGTGAAACCATGCAAGCTAGAATTTGGCACATTTCGACACGCCCTGCAGTCAGGGCAGGGGGGATCCAGACAGGGGTAGCTGGGGATGGTGCGCTGTGGGAGGGGGAGGGAAGGAGGGGAGAATGGCGAGGGAACGCGAGGGGGAAGGGGGAGGAAACGCAAGGGACTGGGACAGGGGGAAGAAGAACGAGAGACGAAGAGGGAGAAGAATACGGGGGTTGGAAAGGGAGCAGGAGAAAGGGGGTGGGAAACGGAGAAGGAGAAAGGGGGTTGGAAAGGGAGAAGACGAAAGGGAGTCCGCTGCCCCACTCCCAATGCTCTCCCAATGCAGCTGCCTGCACTCTACCCACCAATCGTTACACAACCCGAAACGGTAACCATCTCTTCAAACAGCGGTGTAGGGTGCACCTACTCCGGCCGGCACAGCATCTACTCGCTCCGCGCCAACCGCTTCTAGCTTAGAGCCCGCTCCTAGCTTACCCCCCACCATCTGCTCCCCCCCAGCATCTGCTCCGCACCAACCGCTTCTAGCTTAGAGCCCGCTGCCCCACTCCCTGCTCTCCCAATGCTTTTTAAACCCTCCCCTCTCTCATGCCCACCCCATTCCCGTCACACCCAGTAAACCCCCCCCAGCATCTGCTTGGCGCCAACCGCTTCTATCTTACCGGAGTGACGCCAATGAGCCAGCTTCCCTCCTCCCACCTTCCCTCAATCGTAGGCTCTCCCCCTCACTCCCTACTGGGTGTGTTGCTGCTTCAGAATCTGCTGCCCCACTCCCCTCCTGCTCCCCCTCTGCCTCCTTCTCCCCCTTCCCTTTGCCCATCACCCCATCTCTCCTGCTCTTCCTTCCCTTCCCCCCTCACTCCGTACGGGGTGTCACGGCTTAGGAATCTGCTGCCCCATTCCCCTCCTGCTCCCCCTCTGCCTCCTCCCCCCTTCCCTTTGCCCATCACCCCATCTCTCCTGCTTTTCCTTCCCCTCCCCCCTCCCCCTCACCCGCCCTCTCGTCTGCAGCATCCGCTGCTCTTCACTCTCCCGCGCCCCCTGCAGTCAAGGGGAGGGGGGGACAGGGCGGGAGGAGCTGGGGACGGGAAGGGAGAGGGGGGAGGGGAGAGAGGAAAGAGAGGAAGGACCGAGCTTGCTGCTATCGACCCGGTTTCTCCGGGGAGAGTGGAGGAGGGGAGACACGCGAGGAAGGTGGGAGGGACTTGAAGGGGGGGGGGGGGGAGAGGTGCGGGGAAGGGACGGTTGGGGGGAAGGAGGAAGGAAGGGGGAAGGGGAGGGGGATGGGAAATTGCACTTTGAAGGAGAATCAGGAGCAGGAGATGGAAGAAAGTGGCTGCGATGGGCTGAAAAGGGGGCTGAAAGGGAGTCACTCAAAATACACCTGAGTCCACTCAAAATACACCTGAGTCCACTCAAAATACACCTGAGTCCACTCACCAATACACCTGAGTCCACTCAAAATACACCTGAGTCCACTCACCAATACACCTGAGTCCACTCAAAATACACCTGAGTCCACTCAAAATACACCTGAGTCCACTCAAAATACACCTGACTCCACTCAGAATACACCTAAGTCCACTCAAAATACACCTGAGTCCACTCACCAATACACCTGAGTCCACTCAAAATACACCTGCTGCCCGGCCCCCCACTCCCAACCCTCTTTCAACCCTCCTCTGTCTCACAACCCCCATTCCCATCACACCAAGTACTCCCCCCCTCCCCCCCCACCCCCCCCAGCCTACTCTCGCCTCCCTCTCGCGTGCTCATCCCGGCTGGAATGAAATGCGGCAGATGCGGGGATGGAAGCGAGGCTGCGGGAGAGAGGACGAGCTTTTTGAGCCTAGGGAATGACGACAGGTAGCCAGGAACTTCGCGGTGGTTGATGCGACGACATTCGCGAATGTGGATGTGGTCCTGTACGCGACAAGCTATGCGATGTAAAAACGGAGGAAGAGATCAGTGGCGATTCTCTACTCTGCGTACGACGGATCTCTCATACTTCCACGGAAACCTTTAGCTCGGCTGACGCAGCAAGACCAGCCATATCTAGTTTAGAACTACTAGCAGAAGGGTTGTGAGGAACAAGTGTCTTCAGCAGAAACGATATTTGCGAGATCAGCAGTCAACCGTTGCGAAAGAAAATGACGACTCATGGGGCGATCGTGGAAATCCGCTTTCGCAGTGCTCGATCATACCCCGGTGTTACCTCAGTGTCGCGTTTGTTTGCGGAGACGTGCTCTCGAACGTCATTGTGATTCGCCCAATCGCCTAGTAACCCGCTGATGCCAAAGTTCCGCGCGGGGTGGGGGAACACACACGAATAGAGGCAGTAGCGCGCGACAGTGTGCGAACACAATTGAGATTCCCAGGTGCCCAGCTCGGAGCGGGGTAACAAACACCACTGCGGTTCCTGGCGAACCATGCAATTCGCTGCGCACTGATTCCTTTCGTCAGTCACGCTGCTAGTACGAAACCATGTAAGTTACCCAGTCGACGTTGCGAGCAGAGTTGTTGAGCCTATCCCAGACAGAGCTGGCGCATGCGAAAGATGGATTTGGTAGTGAGTTTTAAATGTTACACTAACGGTTCACCTCACACCATGAAATTCCGACTCTCCTGACGAGTCTCATGCTACGCCAGCCAGCATAGATTTTCCCTCCAAAAATTATTCCGGAGGAATGGTCGTGCATTTGTCCGTCAACCAGGCTACAGACGAGGAAGAAACTGCGATGTCCCTAAGAGTCCCAATAATTGCTGAGCCCATCGTAATGGCAAGACGTAAAATCTTCACCCGGTCACACGACCTGACGGAATGACATCTTTCCCCCAGCAATCGTTGTCATTGCGCCTCGCCTGCCAGGACTTGACCTGGGGATGTCTCCAATTTTAACGGAGGTCACTCCTCCGTCAGTCACGCCGTCAGTTCTGGGGCAATAATTGTCGACGCTTCACATCTCGACGTCGCAAGGCAAAACGAAGCACAATGCGACCTTCCTGGGCGCAACCGAGATTACCTAAGCGCTTCCAACACAACAAAGTCCCAATGGCGACTCGGTTTTGCCTCTCAGGCTCCAGGTTCACACGACGACGTGCACTATAAAATCGCCAGCTAATTCGAACCAATCATCGCCATTTTATCCACAGCTCTTCTAGTATTGCTTGATTTCCCGGCCCGCTTACTCCATTCCAAAGGACTCAATTTCCGCGATTTTAGTTTTTCAAAGCTCCCCCCTGCCGAACCATTCCCTGCGATTTCCGCCTCTCTTACTCAATACCGCGCGATGGCTCATGTTTCCAAGATCAGCGGAGGGTTGTGCCTCGCATTCTTCCTCCTAGCCCTCGCCCTCACTCCCGCCAGCGCCGTATTCACCAGCTTCAGCGTGGGACTCAACGACGGAGGCGGCGCGTGCAACTACAAGGGCGATTTCCGCGACAGCCCCTTTTTCAACGGCGGTCTCACCGCGTACATTCCTCAGAGCCAATACAACGGCGGCAAGGGCTGCGGCACGTGCTACGAGGTTTCCTGCAAGAACCACAAGAGCTGCAGGGGCGGCAGCGTGACGGTGCGCGCCGTCGGGAAGCAAGGCAACGGCGATTTCCTCCTCTCCTCGACCGCGTGGGACAAAATCGTCCGCGACCGGGCCGCGGGCCGCGTAGAGATTAAGTACCGCGGCGTGGAGTGCCCTAGCAACGGCACCTTCGCGGTACGGGTGATGCCGGGGAGCAACCCTTACTGGTTCGCGATTCAGATTCTGGGCGTGGTGGACGCGGTGGAGAAGGTGGAGATCTCCAAGGACGCCAGCAGCTGGACGAGCCTGCGCGCCATGGGAGAGAGCGCCACGTGGGTGCTGGGGTCCGGCGCTGAGAAGATCGTGGTGTGGGGAGGACGGTGAGCGTGCGCGTCACAGAGGTGGCCCAGGCCGGGCAGCAGCTGGTGCTGCAACTTGTGAATGTGATCCCGGCCAAGTGGAGCGCCGGGACGACCTACGAGTACACCGTTGTCATCTAGTAACGATATGGCTTATAACAGGGAAGTTTGGGAAGTTGAGCGCGCGGCAGTGGGGAGCGGAGCAGGTGGGAAGACCTGCGAGAGTACCGGCAACTTCACGCTACACACAGGCGTTGAGTGGAGTCGTTTGGGCATAAGTGCATAGTCTAGCAAGGCAGAATAAAAGCCGGAGGGCCAACCTTTGAGATGGAGTTAGTGGCCAACCAACTGGTAGAGGCATTGAACTTGCACTGAATAAATGCATGCCTTGCTTATGCTGAGTCTATGCCCTTTGTGTGCAATTTCTACTTTTGACAGTGAAATTTCT